TGTTATTGTTGTAAAGATAACGGGATGAATCCTTTCCCATGAGAATGAAAATCCTGACAATTCAAAGTGGCTGACACCCATTAAGGTCCCAAAGCAAAGTGTTGGTTAATGCGCTTTCTAGAATTCCCCAGATTCTCTTGATCGTTAAAGGGTGTTCCTTTCGTGGTCACAAGGGGGAGATATAACTATACCCTTTTCCAGAATTGCCTTAGAATAAGGGAAGTGACTGGCTTCCAAGGCAGAAACTCAGCAATGCAATTCAAAAGGTGGTTTTATTTTTTCACTTTTTCTCAGCCCTTTTTCTCTTCTTCCTTCCAAAGGGCTCTCTGAACACATACAGGTTTTGCGACAACGTTTGGACGTTCGTACTGAACGACGTGGAATTCAGGGAGGTCACGGAGGTTGTGAAAGTGGATAAAGTCAAAATCGTGGCCTGTGATGGGAAAAGTAAGTTTGGAATTTTTGCCTGTCTCTCTAGGACAAAGTTTGTCAACCTCAGCTGCTTGCTGGGGAATTCTGGGAGTTGAAGTCCACTCATCTTAAAGTCAGGCAGCTCAGTGTGTTGCTATGATTGCTTCCCTCTTTCGAAAAGTGGATAAGAAAATTGCAGGTACAGGACTGGTGTGATCTTGGGCAAGTTTCTCCCTGGTCTTTTTTTTTTTAAATAATAATAGAAAAAGAAAAGAAACAAAACACCAAGATCATTATACTTGTGCAAATGCACACATTTTCAAAGAAAGAAAAAAAACCCTATACATAAAAAGTGCTTAAAAAAGTGAAAACAGTACAACAGAAAACAGAAAAAAAAGTATGCTATATTGTTATAACAAGAGTTACAATTCTATGTATACTTATCTAATGTAAATATTATTCAAATATGTATATATTAATTTCTAATACATTTACATAACCCTAACTATCAAATAATACTTAAAATTTATTGGACTCCCTTACGTTTCTATAGAAAAGGACTGTCTAAGACAGCATTTTGCTGGAGATGTAAGAAGGACAATGCTTCTTTAAAACATGTGCTTTTACAATGTCCTGTACTTTCTAAGTTTTGGGAAAAAGAAGTGAACCGTATAAATGTAACTGTGCGATGAAAGCTAAAATTTTCAAAGGATAATATTCTCTTGAATTACATACCTAGTACATGGAACTTGACATCTGGAAAACGTAAATGGACTCTCTGTGCCCTTACTATGGCCAAAAGGCTGATATTGCAGCATTGGAAAGATAAAGGAATGGGCCCATTTACTCATGGACTGAAGGCCTGATTGCACTTGCTGCCTACGAGCGGATTGCCTAGAGATGTAGACCTTGTATGGACAAATATAATGAAATATGGGACTCGTTTATACAAAATACAGTAGATTTTTAAAAATCCTTGGTTTTTAAGATATCTGGAGTTTGCTGAAGGCAGTTTGTTAGCTGGGGTAACGACACCTTTACTTACAGTTTTGCCTGCCAAAATCAACAAAAGTCCAGTTTTCCTGGTAAGAAGAGACGTTGCCTCCCATTAATACAGAGCCTTGCTGTTTCAACTCACCAGCTTCCTTCTCCCACGTCAAGGCCACTGTTGCATGTGGCCTTCAACATGTAGGGGAAAGTGACCTCCTGCCGTTTCAGGCGCAGAAACCTCTTGAGCCGGGAATTTTTCAGAAGCACTTCCGTCCAAACTGCTGACAGATCCATGCGCGGTGGCTGGCCGCCTCTTCCTCGGCTTATTTGTCCTGAGCAGTGGCAGCAAACCCTTTGCTCGTTCGTGCTTGAGCTTCCATTTCTGCAGGGCTGGTGGAATTGTTGCTGCCGCGGTCTATTGGGGGCGGGGGGGGCAGGGCCTGGGAGCAGAGACTTCCGCGCAGTGCCTTGCATCTCCCGGTTAAGCATCTGCTTGAGACACAGGAGGCCCCAGGGTCCATCCGGCTCCCCCACCCCACTGCCTTCCAAGGGTGCTTTTCAACGGGCAAGACCCCGGCAGAGACCCTCTGGAAAATAACCCTGTTCTGTATGGACCAGTGGCCAGATTCAGTATAAGATGCCTGCAGATCTTGATCAGACTTGTGGAATGAGATTAGAGAATTTAGTCCTATTAAACTGAGCAGCATCAGAGAACTTCTTGGATGTCTTATTCCGAAGCGGATTTAATGATTACATTAAGAGATGTTTGGTTTGGCTTTTGGTGCCTTTGCTGGCAACTGCCTTGGCGAGATTTTTGGAAGTGGTTTGCCCTTGCCGCCTCCTTCCTGGGGCGGAGAGTGACTGGTCCGGAGTCACCCAGCTGGCTTTGGGCTAAGGGGAGGACTGGAACTCAGGCTCTCCCGGTTTCTAGCCTGGTGCCTTAACCGCAGCGCCAAACCGGCTTTCTTATATCAGGAATAAGTGGGCTTAAATGTCTTCTGTTTAGCCTTGGTTTTTTAGCTGTGTTTCTCAGCCTACGCCTTTTCTCACTTCCAGATACTGGTTCCAATGCAGCGGAGTGAAGAGGGACTGGGGCTTCTGGGCCCACGTTGACCTGATGGGCAGCGCTTCCTGGGGAACAGCGTGGGCAAAGACTCTGTCGGGAGTTGTTTTAATAATGCAGACAGAAATCTTCTTTATTGGAATGCCTTGTGGAACTGTCTTAGCAAGATCCCGTACGGCACCTCCGGGCTCTTTCTCAGTCACGAAGATAACCAAGCTTGCTTTTTTTTAAAGAGGAACAAAAATAAGGATGAAACATGCACAGCTGCGTTTTGGTTCATCAAGGTCACCAATAAATATTTTATTTAAAACTTTTAGTTGTGTGAGAAGCATTTAGTCCTAGGTGTCTCTTCGTACATAAGATCCGTTTTTGGTGGATTGGTTTTACCCCTTAAAAATGGCATATTCTGTTTCTCCTGTCTTTAAAAAAAATGTCCACATATGGTTCTATACATATATATATTTAATTCTTATTGTATAAATGAGATCATGCTCTGTATTTATCTAACAAGTGTATCAGCCTGTATTCATTCAGTGTTGCGATCATTTCGTATCACAGTTTGTTTATACTTAATATTATTGAATCAAGGGAGAATGAACCGTCCAAGTTTAGCCTTGCATCACAGACTGGTAGCACCCTGAGTTCTCCCGCATTCATAAACTCATCCGGTTCGCTAAGTAGCAACGAAGGGGCCTTTCTGCAGACTGACTTGTGTATTTGCAGCTGCTCAAGCTTTGCTACCTGGAGTTGTACGGCCTTCTGCGGGCAATGAGAATATCACTTGTTTTTCTCAACACAGTAAGATTTCTCACGTAAGGTTCCAGATTTCCCCAGGCTGGCTTCCGTCTTATTGTTAAATAGTTAAACTATACTCTGCCGTAACATAGCTACTTAACTGTGGGCATAGCAACATTTTATACTTCCAAAAATAAATAACCTTTGTGCCCTCTTTACAATGAGATTGGTTGTAATGCTATGAATGTTTTGCACTCTCACCTTTATGAGTTTTTCCCTGAAGTGTGCAGTTGTTCTGCAGCTGTTCAGTCCTTTACATAAAGCTTAAAACTGGCACTCATTTTCTGCATGCAACATTTAGAACACTTAGCAATGTTTCACTGAACAAATCTGGTGATCTTATGGCTGCTGGGTGTAATAGATTACTTTTTTTTTTTTTTAAAGGGCCCTGGTCAAGCAGAGACTTCTTGAAAAAACTACAGTACTGTGACATGTGCACGAATGATGTGAAAACACAGGTCGCCCTGCTTTAGAATGACTTTATAAATCTGTAAGAATGGAATATATTTGCAGTAGTTCGTAGGATGGATAGAATTAAATTCTATGACTAAGTGATTGCCCTCATTCATTTTTAGCTGCTTGATGTCCTATCACGCTTGTCCTGTTCTTGGTTTTGGTCTTCGGAGCTGTCTGCTAGAGACAGTTCAAGAGGTGGGTTAGGCTCAAAGGCATTCCACTGAAGACCGGATTCCCCAGGAGAACTTGACACTGAAGTTCTCTCTCTCTGATGCTTATGTCATAATGACCTGAAGCACCAGCCATTAACTTGGGACCCCCCAAATAAGAAAATGGGCAGCTTGTAGGCGCATAGGGAGGCTTTAGCTGAGTTAAAAGACACAGAAATGGAAGATGGGTGCAGTTGTTGAGGGGGTGTCCCAGGAATTGCCAAGGAAGGAAGACCGAAAAAAATACAAAAGGAACTTAGTTTTGCAAGGAAAGTTAAAGTAGCAAACAGAGGTTTTGGGGCTACACCAGGAGGGAAAGAAAAAGGAAGAGGTGAATCCATTGGTAGAAGAGGATGGTAGGGGACAGGAAGAGGAAGTAGAGTTCCTCAACTTCCACCTTGCTTCCATTCCTCCCCAAAGAGGAACTGTGTTCAGATGGGTCTAGGCAGAAGAGCTGGTGCAAGGAAAGAATGGGCAAGTGAGAGTAAAAGATGGATGAGGAGCCTCAAGCTACCATGATCAGGTTTAAGCCTCCAGGACCAGACCAGCTTACATCCAAGAGCCTTGTAGGAGCTTGTAGATATTCTCCTGAAGTCCCTTTTGTCATCTTTGAGACAGCAGAGAAACGGCACAGTGCCAGCTGATTGGGAAAGGACAAATGTTGTTCTGGTCTTCAACAAGGGGAAGGAAGAGGAGCCAGGTAACTGGGCTGGTGAGCCTGATGTCAACGCTGGTGAAATTCTTGAACGAATGGCTATGCATTCAGTTTATGAGCGTTTGGAAAAGAAACCAGAACCGGTAAAGTGTGCCTAATCCTGAACCGATTTACCGCCTTAATTTTGCTTCATTGGGCTCGCTGGGGTATATTTCCACGTTGGTTTGATTTGAACAGATGCGTGGCAGAACTCTTCTAAAACGTTTGTTTCTTTGTTGACCTTCTTGAGTAATTTCCCTAGTAAGAGGCTGGGATTGTTTGTCTTTTTTTTCTTCTCTTTCGGACTTTCTACGTCATGCAGGTTTATCTTGCAAAATAATTGTTGAAGTTTGAGACTTAATAGTTATTTGAGCAGTTTGTTTACCTTGTGATTACGATTTCTTTCCAGCTGGATGTTTATATTACAAGACCGGGCACGGCAGAATTTTAGTTGTGCTACAAGGAACGGCTGTTTTGAGGTTGTGTTAGTGGATTTAGGCCTAAGCATTTTCATTTCCTGCAGTTTACCTACAAGCAGGTGAACCAGTTAAGCTGGAACCAAGTACTGAATTCATATCGCTTTTTGCTCTAGTAGAAATGTGTAGAATCCTGGAATCATGGGGCTGGGAAGGAACAGAAGGATTGTCTGGTCCAACCCTCTGCAATGTGCAGGAAAACCGATTAAAGCTATCAATGACTCTGGTCAGAGGAGGGGGAGGAGGAGAAGGAGAAGGAGAAGGAACCAGGAAGAACCTTCAAGGATTGCCCAGATACAATTTTGGGGAAATGGAGGAGCGATGGCCATTTCCCTCACCTTCACTTTTAGGAGTATGGCTCTTTATGGGATAACAACTTCACCTGGGCCTGGTGAGAATGAACCCTTACCGAGACTTCCACTAACCAATTTACTGGCCACTTGGGTCGCCTGGGGCCAATCCAGAATAGGAACAATTCCGAAGCTGAATGGGAATTCAGGACAGGCAAGCTAGTGGTTTTACTCCGTGCCAGGTTTTCAGTCCTTCATAAGTTGTTATGAAAGGTACATCTGCATGCCAGCTATGTCAGGTGTGGTGTGTCGTGTCTGAGGGGGGAGACATCATTCAACAGATGCATGGCTTCCCACTTTGCTAAATATGGGAGGGGAGAAGAGCAGCCTGCAGCTACCAGGCCTACACAAATCGTGCTCCCCCTGCAACCTGAAAGTAGCCTCCCATGAACCACCAGGGACTTGAGAAACCTGTTTGCAGGTCGGGTAGGTCAGCAGCAGACAACCCCTGACCTTTCTTGTCCAGGTAAAAGACAACTCTTGGAGCTTCTCTCCTCAAGAGGCCAAGAGCCCGCCTGTTGGGTCTGCCCCTTGGACATTTTGCAAAGGAGACCCAGAACGGGTGTGCAGAAAAACAGGGGCTGCAAGTAAGGCTCCTCTTCAAGATAGCTGAGGAAACAGAAAAAAGGTCCTTTCTGCCCACAGCTGTAGTTGTGCAAGAGTAACTGTGTCCTTCGGACTTGGCACTCTGCAGCCGTGGTATTATGTTGTTGCAACACCCAGGGTTGTCCCGGGAACAAAGCAAGGAACAGCTCTCTGTCCACTGAATCTGTGGGCAGTCTTGAGACACTGTGGGAAGGGCAGGGGTGGGGGAAAAAGAGAGAGAGAGAAATGTCTCCAGCCCAGAATTAGGCTCTTTGTCTCTTTTTCTCTGTAATTCTGCCCCTGGGGCAAGATTGCTTTTTGCAGAAAGTATCTGTGAGCCAGGGACAGGTTCTGGCTGGAGAGTAAGGTTAGCTCCTTACCTCCCACTGCGGTTCTAACTCTGGCAGTTGGGCTTGGCCAGTTTGCTTTCCAGAGGCCCCCCAGGATCAGGAAAATGTGAAATGCTAGCGGAGTTACTGTAAGGCCAGCCAGGTGCTGGGATCCAAAGGTGGTTCAAATTGCAGAGCAAAACCAACCCCAGCAGTTGGGCACATCACCCTGAGGAGCGTGGAACGGAAAAGCCCTGTGCCTGTGATTCTTGCAGGGCAGCAAGGATGTATTCACCCATAGCTGACCCTTCTAGGTTAGCCTGCATCTAACCTTGGTAACCTATTAACTGCATTCACCTGCAGTTGACATCTCTTGAGAAGACAAAAGATACGGGGAGGGGCCCACTGCTCAGAAGAGATCAAAGGGAAATCCCAGTTAAGGTGATGAAGAACTTCTTGAACCACCAGTAATCTCGAAATGTTCTATCTCCTTGAAGCAACATGTATAAAAAC